ATGTGCCTCGCTAATCCATCCACCTCGTTTTCCCCTGACCGACAACGTACGCCGTAAAACTTCACCGAATTGACGACCTGTCATCCACGGGCCGAGAAGGTGTGAAGATGTGGAAAAGCGACTGAAAAATATCAATGACAAGATTGTTTGTTTTTTTGGTCTTACCCAGTGTGCCGGAAATACACTTTTCGGTAAATCCTCTCGATTTTTTTCCCTGACAGATGCCGTGGGTGACACAGTTGCTAAAGAAGATTTAGGATGACGAACGTCTTAGACTAAGAGCTCCTCGATTCGAGAAAAACTTCATCATTTTCAGACAGCGGGCTGTCATTCACCGGGACGATAATCTACCCAAGAACAAACAAACCCCGGATTTAGAATTTTCACACAAAGGCAGACGAATAAATTTGATAGCGTATAATGGTGCCTATTGTGAGTCATATAAAGTATTCCCCGTTTCTTTTTTAAAAAATTACCTCTGGAAAGTCTTTCACTTTGCTTGAATTTTGAAGCACAAATTAATGCATTGCATGTCGACAGTGTACAGAGGGGTCTTTGTGCAGAGGAATTTCTCCGATAGCAATATGGTTTCGAGAATGTATGATTATACAATGTAAATGCTTTCTTAATTTTGAAACTATCTTTAACCCGTCCGTAGACGCCGCAAGGAGAGCGCGCCAAGCATAACACCAATCAAACTAGAGCTAAGCTAGAAGAAACGTTTGTAAAATGCACACCCAGAAGAAACAGCAGCAGACGTCGAGCGCTATTCGGTGGATGTAGTACACACAGCTCATGAATAAATTTTATTCATGGAAACAAGATTTAAATTTCAGATAGAAGGAAAACAAATTGGAACTGAAAATTTTATTCAAATCGAAAACTATCTTTCTTCGAGTCCTGGCAGCCAAGAAAAAGCAACAACAAAATAAGAAGCCAAAGTTTTGTTATTAAATCTTGGCGCACGGCCCTCTGTAAGATCACAAGTCCGTTTATTTTGCTTGGATTTTTAACCCTTGGCGTTTGTTGGTGAAAAGCATATCCTCTCTCTCCACGTCCAAATTTTATTGAGAACTTCACCAAAAGGATAATTGCTGAAATAACGAGCAGAGATTAAAACAAGATAAAGTACCATTCGAGAAGGGCGCCATGCCTGGTTTTCCCGGGGCTTAGCTATGCTTCAACTCACTTTGCCAATGATGATGGCACCCTCTCAGATACTAAATGAGCTTGGCAAAGGAAGCCACTGGACCTTTAATAAAAAGCATAAATCAACATTAATCCGGACTGCATTTTTTATTAATTCCAAAGTGAAAAACTTCCCACCTATCGCACACCACCCAAAAGATTTCTTTTTCATCATCCCTTTCGTGTCGATGATTCTTCTATGCGGAAGCGATGACTTAGTGTAGTCTCAATAAAATTCACTTTTCACTTGGTTTCATCCTTCAGTTCGATTAAATTATAGACTTCTTCGGGACGATGGCATAAATGGTTGGCTCCGGGTGGAGATTCGAAAAGGATGGAGAATCTTAACCGTTTGAGTTCCTATGTTTCCAAATTTATTAAGGTTCTCTCCACTGCGTTATTATTACAGCAATTTAGTACTGACATATTAGTTGGGTTAGGATCACCAGTTTTAGGTGAGCAACACGTTTTTAAGCTACAAATGCATATTATTCAGGTTTATTTGATTAACTAACTAATTTGGTGTAACAATTCTAGAAGTGATATTGGCGTCGATTCCCCACTGTCTTGACTGCTTTCACTTAACCGTACTATCTATAATTTAAATTTAGCATTAAGTTAAATTCTCTTCAACCGCATTGAATATTATTGACCTTACAATATTTAGAACTAAGGTACTAGCACTGTATGGTAGGTAGTATAAGAAACTTGATTTAGAAACTGTAAATAGTTAGATTTAAGCTGAGTGGTGTGGAGTAAAGTCCTCTAAGTAAAAGTATGGCCGTTTGTCAAAAGTTGTTACAATCGAACCGTTAAAATGCACTACTTCGCTCGATTGGAACATTTTTTTTCAGTTTTGTGGTGACAGACGTCCATACTTTTACTAAAGAGTTTTAGTGCGGAGTCGATGACTTTCAAGTTTCAAGTTATTTCGCTTGAAAAATATTAATTTCTTGTCTTTGTTAACATTCTCTCAACACCGCTCACAAATTGACGCCGTTTTTCCAGACAAAAATGAAGATCTCGTTCATGAGTTTCTTATTACAGTGGTGATCCGATTTTGTCATCCCCCGATTTTGTCTACCCCCGATTTTGTCCACCCCCGATTTTGTCAGCTTTTTGACCCGATTTTGTCAGCCTTATGATTCAATTAGTTTTGGTTGAGGTGGACTGTTTTGTACAGTCGTATTCGTATTTTATTGATTGTCGAGCTCAATAATGACATTTTTCGAGAATTAAATGTGCAGTGGTGGCAAGATCAAAACAGGGAGGAGGGGGGTTGAGGGGCTAGTTGAAAATTATGTACGTAATGTATGTTTTTTTTAGTAAGGAAAGCTTCAAAAGCCTGGCCTGTCACTGTGTTGCGTGTTTGTTTTCCTTCTGGCACAGTGTGGAACAGCTAGCCGGCGTTTCTAACTCGCTGAACATCTCTCCGTTTTCGCTGCAGCTCAGACAAAATTTGCGCCACCGCCCTGCTGACGAAGCTCCACGTCTTCTCATCCCGGCACATTTCACTGACGACATTTCTCGCGCTAAGGGCCGGCATCTCCACTCGCACTGCCTCAAATCTTGGGCAGTCGAAAACCACGTGCTCCGGCGTTTCGTCCACGTTGCCACACTCCGGACAGAGGGGTGACGTTGTGTGTCCAAAGCGATGCAGGTACTTCCTGAAGCAGCCATGACCAGACAGGAACTGCGTCAAGTGGAAATTGACTTCTCCATGGTTCCTGTTCACCCAGGTCGAAAGAATCGGTATTAGCCTGTGTGTCCATCTACCGTTCTCCGCTGCGTCCCATTCTGTTGACTTTTAGCCATCGACTCCGTTCTCACCCATGGCCGTACTCCTCTGGTATCTCTTTGCATATAGCATTCGGTGTCCTCCGCCAAGGTGATGACGATAGGTATCATACCGGCGATAACGCAGACTGCTTCCGTCGAAATTGTTCTGTACGCACTCACGACTCGCATGGCCATGAGGCGGAACGTACTGTTCAATTTTCTTTGGTTCTTCTTCGTTTTCAGCGCTGCATCCCAGGCTGGACCTCTATACCTCAGTATCGATGACGATACACTAGCCAGAAGGCGCCTCTTGCTGCTACTTGGTCCAGAGTTGTTCGGTATGATTCTAGCTATCGCATTGATGGCCTTCGCCGCCTTCTCACATGCGTAGTCGACGTGGCTATTAAAGCTTAGTCGGTCATCGAGTATCACTCCAAGATACTTCAGCGCGCGCTTTGATGCTATGGCGTTCTCCCCGACGATAATTTCTGCTCGCTGAACAGCTTTACAGTTACTGACCAATAGCACTTCCGTTTTGTGGTAGGCTATCTGCAGCTTCCCGCCTTGCATCCAGTTGGAAACCGTGTCGATCGCCTCGGTTGCCAGCATTTCCACCTCTTCCAACGTCTCGCCTACTACCGCCAACACGACGTCGTCCGCAAATCCTACGATCTCGACTCCTTTGGGCAGCTTCAGCGTTAGCACGCCGTTGTACCAACAATCAATACGAAACTAACGATTTTAAATTGGCTCACTACTTTAGTAGCCTATTGGTCCCAAGCAAACGATTAACGTACCCTATTCTAGTTGAAATTCTATTACTACACTATGTTTGTTTTGATTCGCTATGAAAGTTTGACAGATAACATCAGGGGTGTGTGGATTCATGCAGAACATGCAGGGGTGAGTGAAATAGCTTGGGACTGCTTGGGACCGTTGTTCTGGTACTGAGTGAGCCAAAAATAATAATGATTTTCTTCGGGACCCAGTGGTCTTAGAGTTACCTCTATGGTTGTACATTGCGTTCCAGAGCGTTGGGCCAAGGATGGAGCCTTGTGGCACACCCGCCGTGATCCGGATTGATTTCTCTCCCATGTCCGTTTCGTAGACTAGAACCCGGTTCTGGAAGTAACTCCTTATAATGCTACACAGGGAATCAGGAACCCTCATTCCATGCAGTGCTTCGGCGATGGCCTCCCAGCTGGCGCTGTTGAATGCGTTCTTCACGTCGATCGTTATCACGGCGCAATATCGATCTCCTCTCCGCTTCTGTTTAGACGCTTTCTCGGCACTCTCGACCACTGTCCGAATTGCATCCACCGTTGATCTCCCTTTCCGGAATCCGAACCGCCTCACCGACAATCCATGCTCACTCTCCGTGCATTTCGTTAGCCTGTTGAGGATGATCTTCTCCAATAGCTTTCCGACTGTATCCAGCATGCATATAGGCCTATACGATGCTGGATCCTCCGGCGGTTTTCCGGGTTTCGGCAACAGCACTAGCTTCTGTATCTTCCATCGGTCCGGGAAGTGACCTTCATCCAGACACTTCTGCAGCACTATCCTGAACATGTTCAGAAACGCCTGGATGGCCGCCTTCAACGCCACGTTGGGGATTCCTTCCGGACCGGGAGCTTTCTACGTCTTCAGCCCTTTCGCCATTGCTACGAGTTCCTCGTTGGAGACTTGTCTACCTTCGGTGTTGTCTGCCTCTGCTTCGCCGTACGGTGTTGGTGGCCAGGTTATTTGGTCGTGCTTCGGGAAAAGTCCCTCCACGATGACTTTCAGCTTGTCTGGGCACATTTCAACGGGCGTCGTTGGACCTCTAATCTTCGCCATCGCGACTTGGTATGCGTCACCCCAGGGGTTGGCATCAGCGTCTCGGCACAGCTCCTTGAAGCAGTTTGACTTGCTCAGCTTTATCTCCTGTTTTAGAGCGGCCTCGAAACACCACCCTTCGCTCTGCTCTATCTGCATCAGTTCTTGCCCGCTGAACGCGCCTTCTGGTTCGGAGACAACTAGCGCGGAGGGTGCTAAGTGCCTCGTTCCACCAGTAAGCTGGGCGCCGTCTGTTCCTTGGTTCCGATTTCCTCGGCATAGTTGTGTCGCATGCCCTCGTTAACGATTCGGTCAATTCGTCCACGCTTGGTCTGGGACGCTGCTGTCTACCCGGAGAGCTTCTACAAAGAGATCCTTATCGAATGCCTTCGTCTTCCACCTCCGCTTGCTTACTTTCGTTTTCCACATTGCCGTAGGTATCCGTTGGCCAAAGCTGTACCTAATCGCCTGATGTTCACTATGAGTGTACTCCTCACACACTCTCCAGTTCATACTTGCCACTAACGACGGACTGCAGAAAGTGATGTCGATAATGGATTCCCTACCATCATTGCAACGTCGCACTTTGTTTCCGTTGTCGACTGCCACAACAGTTGCTGTGCTGTGTCACAATGATTGATATTTATTTGGGTTATCTCCATTACTATTGGCTCGCTATCGTCTTTTTGTAAGCTGGGCACCTGAAACTTCCCGTCATATGATCGTTTCCGTCCTCCTTTCTGCAGAGCATGCACCTCGGTTGCTTCATACAGTCTTTAGCAACGTGCCCCTTTTATTCGCATTTCCTGCACAGCTCCAATCTATTAGGGCCTTTGCAGTTTCTCGCCTGGTGACCAAAGTTCATGCACTTAAAGCATCTCTCCATTTGCTTGGTAACCCGAGGGATAGCTTTCAGGGGACATACTGACCTCCCAACCTTGACTCTTCCTGTCTTCAGCAACTCGTTAGCGTCGCCCTTACTTCTCTCCCTACGATGCCTGGGGTTTTCCTTCTTCTTGACTTCCTTCTTCCTCTCTTCCGTCTTCTTTTTCTTCTCTTCCTCTTCATTCTTCTTTTCCTCCTCCTCCTTCTTCTTCTGTTCCTTCTTCCTTCAGTTTTTTTCCTCTTCTCCTTCTGGTTTTCGAATTTACGCCAATCACTGTCTTCTCCATCTTCTTGCTCATTGTCCCCGTATACGTCATCCTTGTGTTTTTTTAGGTCCTCTTCGTCTCCTGGCGTTTCCCTATCTCTTTTCTCCTGACGTAGATTCGTTGGTCCCTTCGGCGTCTCCTGCGCTTCAGCCAGCTTTGCATTCTCCTTGGCCTCAAACAGAGCCTTTTCGGCCGCTTCGGCTCTTCTTCTCCATTCTTCCGTTCCCGATCTGCCATAGCTATGCCGGATTTGATGACCGTTGCTAGTAGCTTGACCTCCTTGTGTATGTTGTTCTTAGAGTTCATCGATCTTCCTCCTAACCTCCGTGATTTTGGTTCTCCCAAGCTGCAATTCTTGCTGTTTGCCACTGCTGGATTTCGGTGTGAATATTTGGCATGGCTCCGCACCTAGCTGCTCTCCTTGGGATCCATGCTGTTCCACTTGGGGTATGCTACTACTGGAACTCGCTGTGGTCACCTGGTTCGACGCTGGTGATCTCTGCAGCTTTCCGCTTCTTGCGAACACGTTCGCTCCTCCGTTTTCACTATCTGGCGTCTTGCCGTCGTCCTTCATATTTTTTTTTTGTTTTTTTTTTATTTTCGTCTTTTTTTGTTTTTTTCTCCGATTTTCTCCATGGCTTAAATACTATGACCACCATCCGAAAGGACTTGGTCACCTGACCAACTTTGCTGAAGACAACAACGTTCTATATGGCCAGGTTCTCGCGATACAGTTTATATAGAAAGTTCACATGCACACTAGCGCTACGTAGTGAGAGAGTTCGTAACTAATATGCTCACCATCCGAAAGGACTTGGTCACTTGAACAACTTTGCTCAAGACAGTAACTTTCTATATGGCCAGGATCACGAAATATTCTATGTTGGACCTATCTATATATATAAAAATGAATTTCTGTCTGTCTGTCTGTCTGACCCTTATAGACTCGGAAACTACTGAACCGATTGGCGTGAAAATTTGTATACAGGGGTTTTTGGGGCCGTGGAAGGTTCTTATGATGGTTCGAGACCCTTCCCCCTTCTGTAAGGGGGGGCTCCCATACAAATGAAACAGAAATTTCTGCATAACTCGAGAACTAATCAAGCAAATGGAACCAAATTAGGCATGTGGGGGCGAGCGTGGGGGTATAAGGAGATAATCATAGGGGTAGCCCCTTAGATAATAGGGGGGCTACGTACAATATAGCATGCTTTTTTTTAAATCGGTGCATAAACTCAAGCTAATATTGAATCCCGAGCAAGACCGGGCACACTCAGCTAGTGATCCATATATTATAGCACCCGTCATAAGTAACATAAAAGTGAATCGCCTCTAGCGGCGTAGTTCCCAATCAAACCTGAATCCAATGACACAGGCTTGTTGATCTAGCCCAGTACAACAACTTTGTCGAAGACAGTATAGCTCTATATATTGAAACAAATGAGATAATCCACCACAGCCCCTATTAGTAAAAATCCCGTAAGCTGTGGGTATCCTTATTCGCGGTTCCTTATTCACGCCCCTGTTACCCCGGCAATAAGGATTCCTGACTGTATGCATTGAGTGGCCATTCAATTCTTACCTAAGTCCATTTAGAATCCCCCCCCCCCCTCCACACCATCAATGTAAGAATGTCTTTCCTTATATGACACTTACGAAAAGTTTGAAATTCCAGCTCCCCCCGCCCCCCTAAATGGGCTCGTATATATTGAATGTTTGCTAAAACATAAATCTTGCATTATCAAACAGCATTTAAAGATATTATGATAAAAAAAATTAAGCGAAAAAAAATGTCCCGATTTTGTCAGTGTCCCGTTTTTGTCAGCCCTAAATTCATCAGGGGGCTGACAAAATCGAGACATTTGATTACAATTGTTCGAAATAAGGCCCGAACAAATCTCAAGATTTTCTTTTGTCAATCCCACAGTATCACAAAGGGGAAAAAATCAGTTTATATTTATTTTTCGAGTATTGCAAATTCATTTGGGTATGGATACTCACTTTGCTAGATTTTATTATGCTTTAGAATATCACCTTGTTCTTTTACAGAATTTTTACATAAATTGGTAATAGATCAGTACGGCATGCCAGGTCCTTAAAATCGGATCAGCCGGTTTTAGTTGTTGAAAACGGATTTCATCGAACATCATTCCTAATCTTGTTTGGCAACTCACTAGGTAAGCCACCTTCAATTTGATCGATTCCCCTTATTCGCTGCGCGAAGATGTGTCTTGTTCCAGTCGGGCCGCTACCAAGAACCATTTTCACGGGTAGTTATCTGACATTGTTGCAATACGCCCAGCCCACCGTAGTCGCACGATTTTCGCATTCGATCTAAGTTTCTTAACTTACAAACCTGCTGCAATGATTCAATTCTTTTCTACAGCGATTCCACAATTTCCAATCTTTTCAAAATTGGTTTAAATTTTTTAGAAGTGAGACCAAATCAGAAATGATTCAGGAAATTCCACTGTTCAAAGCAGATTCAAAACTGAGTCTGAACTTTTTTGAAGTGAGTTCAAACTTTCAAATACGTCATCAACATATTTCTAACGGAGTCTAAAGTTTTTTGTTATGTTATTCAATCCTTTTTAAAGTTGTCAAAGCTTACCTAAAGTGATTCAACATATCTCGAGTCCAAGCTTTAAAGAATTTGTTTCGCATTTTCTGAAGTGAGGCCACATTAGCTAATTTAATCCCTTTCCTAAATGAATCCAAGGTTTCCTGCATTGATTCAACTTTTTCTGAACTGAATCCAAACTTGTCAGAGCGGGTTTGATATTTTCCTAAGTGAGCTCCTGCTTTGGCATTTGGCAAGGACACAATCTTGCTCGAGGTAATTTTAAAAGTGTGGAAAGTTTCCTGAAGTGAACCGACACTGTTTTACCTAAAATTTTCCAAATGGAGTCCAACCTTTGCTGAAGTGGTTGAATACCTTTCTTAGGGAGTCCAAACTTTTCTGTTGAACGATTGAATTATATTTAATGTTAGTCTGAGCTTTCCTGAAGTGATTTAATTAAATTTTAACGTAGATTCCACTCCTTTAGACCCCTTCCTCGTTCTTGTGAGATTCACATCCTTTGAAAATCGGGCTGAGATTTTAAAGAATGGACCTTCGTGTGTTCATCCCTGATGGAAGATTTTTTTTTTTAGCGAGCACAATTGTTAAGAAAACTGGGTTCACATCCACAAAAGTACGTATATATCGTAAATATCAATTCAATCTCCCAATTTAATCTTCTAGGCGTCATTACCTAATTATAAACAATACAGGTTTAAAAGGGTTCGCAAAAGTATTATTCACGGCGGGCAAACGGAATCCGTTTTTTGATACACACCCCCTTCGGCGCCGTTCGCCATTTTGGCCCCTAAATTAATGGGCGAACTTTATTTTCTCGCCATTTTTCCAACATCATTGCCAAACTGCTGGCCAATGTTTGCCATCGGATACCGCCATCTCTAGAATAAAAATAATAATAATAATAAATATCCAGACTCTTTCACGGGAGATCAGACCACGATCAAACCGGGGGATGAAAAGCCGCGATAAAACACAAGAAAGAAAGCAAAGGCAGCCGTACAGTACAGTAAGTGCTCGTAAAATTCAACCTCATGATTTAACCGATAGTTGACGTACTGAAAGTTCTGTGAAAATATTATTGTCACTTAAGTTGTATGGGAATTATTGAAACCACGTGGCATTTTCTTTAACAAAGACGTCGATTTCAAGTAGATAAACTGTCACAACATTATATTCGATATTAGAAAATATTGTTTACTGCTTATATATGAAACATACGCCCATAACCACGTCTTTATTTGTCATCCAGCAAGATGTGAACAGAAATTTTAGGAATGTCCTGGATTGAACTTAACCGGGCTCACTGGTATTGTTCTTTTTGAAATAAATCACAGTAGTGTGCATTTGATACAGAAAATTTTTCCGGACCCTATCTGCTAATTTTGGAAGTAACTTTAGATGATTGAAATTTGTACGGGCCGGCATGCATCCATGCCCCTTACGCTTCAATTTTCACCCCCGTGACAAGTCACAAATTACCTAAAATGTGTCCAAGCAATTATAATAATAAACAATTTTGTTGAAAGTTTGCTGGAGTTTTCATATGAAATAGTATAACCGCGCAATCCAATCCTACACTGTATACTGTATATTTCAATCGGGAAAATGAGCTAGGGGTTCAACTGCTGCAAAGGACGGCGGTTGGTGGCGACGAAAAATCGAAATTGTGTTCCATTTCAATAGGGGGTAAATTCATGAGAATAGTACAGGCATTCCTCAACAATCCATTCGTAGAGGGGATTTGTTCACGGGATTTTTGCCTTTTGTATTACTTGTGCAAATAGCAATCGCGGAACAAAGTGATTTGTCGGGCAACATGAAATAAAATAGCTTTCGATTGTTGCCGCCAAGTGTTAGTTGTTACTCAGTGATTGCGAGGACTTTCGAAAAGATTTTCCGCTCACACAGCAATCATTTCTACAATTTTATTAACACCAGCAATCCATCTAGATAGGCCCCACTTTGAAGAGTACCACACTCAACGTTCGACATGATGCAACTGATTGGCACAGATTCACTTTGCTAATGCTTTTGAAAAACTTGTGAACAGCATCATCAGCCTGCCACCGACCGCCTCGTTCGAAACAAGATAAGTTGATTTCATTTGCATTTTGGCCCTTTGCTCACTTCAACCATTCTCCACAAACTAAGTGATGCTCAACACAGTGCCGACGGGGCTTCAACCCGAAAAACATTATAAAATTTTAATGGATCCTGGCCAGTTGGCTGCGGATGGCTTCGACTTTGGGCCGCTCGACCCCGGCCGGAGGCACTTGGTCTTCAAGTGTCCCAGAGTCCACGCAGACACAGAGTGGCAAATCCCGAACAAAACTTCAAATTAGTTCACATTGCACGATATGAGCTAAATATGCTAAAAAGGAAAGCGATGAGATAAGGAGAAGAATTTGTTCGGCTAATTTGTACAACCGGTCCCGTGTCTGCACACCGAAGCGCAGAATGCGGAAGATTTACGTTTTGCGGAATGTGTTAAGTGTTTTTAATTTTCTGTGCAGCGAAGCATCTTGAAAGGAATAAGCTCTACTGGAGCATAAGGAATGGCAAGCAATCTGGAGCATAAGGAAGATATTTTAACTGGAATTCTGAACCGCTAAAACTGGATGTGCACAGGCGAAAAAGCTGTTTGAATAGTGCAATTGGTACAATGTATCTCATTCAAACGACTTGCGCTTTTTTAAGTCGATCAATTGGGTTATTTAACTTTTAAAAATATATCGATTTTTATACATCATCTAATAGAGCTTTGTTTTTTGAGCACAAAGATATTTTAATCGATCCCGTAGGCAATCATCTCGATTTTTAAATAAAGATTAAAATGTTTGATCGTTGACACTGAATCTATTCGTTGGCAGCTCGCTCGCATACAAAGTTCCACCAATAACCTCGTGAAGGTTTTATACAAAAATATGCATTGTATGAATGTAAAGGATACCACTCATTGTTGCAGGGCACAGCCTTTAAACAGTGGACTGTCC